ATACTAGGCTGTGGTACAGACAGCAAAGCCACTCTAGGATGTCTGTGACATTCTCATAAGACCAGGAAATATGACGAAGCACCTACTGGAGTCCTGTGTTCTTCTGCAGCCAAAAGCAATATAGTGTGGTCTAACTGTCACTGGGAAACTAAGGTCAGGCAACCAAATCCCTCACTGGGATGAAATACTAAGTACACTACCAATAACTCATGCCCTCCATCCTTTTTTTTCTGTTTCCACCTTTCCATGTTGGATCCACTCTTGCCTGAGAAATGTAACCTTAAGACTGAAGACCTCTAAGCTACAGCCTTCCTCTTCTACCTTCTCTATAAATTAACAGGAAAACACCTTTAAGCTTTAAGCATCTGTCAAGCAAGTTTTCAAGTTTGAGTCGTTTCCCTCTAACACCTTAGAACTCCCACTTTGAGCCATCCATCTAACAATCCTGGTACAATTTTAGAATTGTTCAGACTTAGAGAACAGTCATTATTGGTTTATTTCAAAACAAATGAGTAGTAGTTTCTATACAGATTTAAGGCTAGTGGTGCAGCTAATGAACCTGCCTGCCTGACAGGAGACTAAGCAAAAGGATGCAAGCATCTTCAGCATTATGTCTGGACCAGATACAACATGTTTCTTGCAATATACTTTTAAAAAAGAATTAAGTACAGATCAGTTGTCTCCCTGAATTGAGAATTCTCTTACCTTAAGATGTGTGCCTACCAGATCAGCAAGCAGTTTTCATTCTGTCTTTTCTCTACATCACCCTCAAACACACTCTTCTTCCAATTCTAGTCTTTCTAAAGTAAACACAAAGTCTTTCTGAAGCCTTTCTAAAGGCAAAGTAAAACTCTGTGTTTATCTAATGACAATTTTCTTTCTGGTGTGTTAGACAGTCTGTTCTATAAAAAAAGAGAGCCTGTAACAAAAACAGGCTACTGTCAGAGGATGGAAAGATACTGTGTTAGATCAATCTGAATCACTAAGGCACAGGCCCACTGCCATGGGTGGATAAATCTGTCATCTTGCAAAACATGTGGTGGCAAAACCCCCCAGTGTCCTTTCAGGTATGAAGGGCCTTCAGAAGGCTAGCACAGATTAAACCTTCCCTTTCCCTCCTAAAGGAAGAGTGGAGTGGTACCAAGCAGAATCTAAAAAAGCTTTACGATTTCCAAGGCTGCAGAAGAGCTGCATAAACAGTCATACAATGCACTGAAAGGGCCAGAAGACTTCTTCACTTCTGCTATGACATCCCTCTCTGTCAAAGCAGAAGGTTGAAAACAAAGGGCATACAGAGTTACTGGCATGAAAAGAAAGTGCTCAGATATGTGTTGGTGGCAGGAATGCACAGAAGCGTATTCAGGGATAGCAAGAATATTAGAGGGAATGGAAGACCAGCTCATATGTAGTTCACGGCCACACAGGACTCACCTACGGGAGAATTTTCCTTGTGGACCTTATGGAAAGCATTACCATGTAGCTTTCCTCTTTCACGTAAAACATAATATGACAAACAGCATTTAGACCTCAAGAAACACTACAGAACACTTAAAAACACACTAGATAGTTGAAATATTAACTGAATTTACTTATATACACAGAAAGAGCAGGATATTGTGTAAAAATCCCCGACATCCTGGGCTGACTTGAATATTTCGGTTTTATTTCGATTTTGGTAAAAAACTGGAAGAAATTAGCCAGCACTGCTTTCATTATTAAACTGTAACCATGCATCGGTTTCTCTGTAACGCAGCGATGGAGAGTGAACACGGGGAAGGCGTCTGGGCAGGGAAAGCACGTTTTCTGTCCCGCATCAAGGCACGGCAGGCGGATCCCCGCTGTGGACTCCATAGAGCGCGGCTCCAGCCATGCTCTGGAGCGGGGCGGGGGACGCGGGCGGCTGCTGCCGTTGAAGGGGCCCCGCCTGCCTGCCTTATCACCCGAGGGGCTGCAGGGCGTGTGCAGCGCAGATACACAGCGGAGCAGGGAAGGCCCCCCTTCACCCCCCTTCACCCCCGGCGGGCCGAGCACCGTTACAGAAGTTGCCTCCGGGACCCCCGGGCCGTGGGTCGCCTCCGGGTGCTCGTCCGCGCCGCCCCGGCGGGGGAGGAGCCGCCGCTGAGCCGGGCCGTTCCCGCCGCCGCCGCTCCGCCGCCTGAGCAGGCGCGGCGAGGGGGCGGCGGCGAGCCTTGCCTCTGCATCTCAACTTGGCGGAGCGCCGCGGGGGCCGGCAGACCCTTTCCCGCCAGAAGGAACGTGCCCACTCACACGCCGAGCCTCCGGCGACGACTTGGTGAGAGGCCTCCTGCAGGAAAAGCCCCCGCGCTGCCGAGCCATCCTTGACCGCGCCGCGGCGGCGACGAGAGGCGGCCGGCGCCTGGAGAGCGGCTGCCGAGCCGAGATCGAGTCCGCGCTGGGCGGGTGGGGAAAGAGCCGGGGGCGGCGGGACCGCGGCGTATCTGCGGGCGGGACGGGGGGCCGCGACCGCCGGGGGGGGGGGCGCCGGACGCCGGGGCCCCGCGGCGGCCCTTGGCAGGCCGGCGGGCAGAGGGTGTCCCCCGGGCAGGGAAGTGCTCTCCGTCGCTTCCAGCCGGGGAAAACGGCAGCCTCCCTCTCTTCGCGGCCACAGCGGGGCGGCCGGCGCTGGGATCGCCCAGGCTGGGGCGGGGAGCGAGGCTTTGGCGGCTGTCAGGGAGCTGGCGGGAGAAGGCAGGCCAGGCGCCTCCTCGGGCTCGGGCCGTGTCCTCCCGCCTCGGGGCTGGTGCCATACAGCGCACACTTGCAGTCCTGTTCCCCACCGCTGCTGGGACCCAGCTAAAACCCGCAGATCCCCTACTGCTCCACTTCTAGGAAGGGTCGCTTGTGCCGCTCGGTTCACAGGCTGTTTCTGAAGCGTGCTGTTCTTTTAAAACCTTTAGTCTAAAGGTTAGATCCAGCTCCTCGATGTTCAAAGGACACGGGTATTTTGTCACATGGAGTGTAACTATTACATGTGTTTCACGGACCTGTTGGCCCATCTTAGTAAATAAAACGGTGCCAGGGCATGGGCTTGAAGTGCTGGGACATAGCACCAGTGCTGACAGACCCCAACACTGCTTGCAGCAAGGCCAAACTGTGCTTTTCTGGAAGATGCCAGAGTACAACGTGGGGGACAGCATGGGCTCATTCCCAGCGGCAGCACCATTGAAAGACAAGATAGTTCAGCCATACGGGTATTCTGATACATTAGTTTGCAGAGTGCCTGTGAGTGTTTTGTGATAGTCTAGCAACAAATGTTGCCAACTGAGTAGAGGTTCCAAGCTTGAAAGGAAATGCAGCCTTTCGTAATGTAGAACAAAAGTCAGAAAAAAACAAAGGGTTTATTGCTACTGAAAGTGATGGGAACATAGAAAATATACAGAGAAGTGTTGAGACAGTGTTAAAAGACCAAGACCCTAATTGCGAAAAGGAATAATATTCAGGTATAACATTCAGTTATATAATTTGCATGCATCAGCAAATAAACAGTAATGTGAATTTTTTTATCTTTGTAAGAGCTGAGTGGGCATCACTGTAGGAATACGGAATAACTCCCTTAAACTGATAAACCTCGAATGTGCTGACCTTTAAGTTATTAAAATCTCAACTTCAATGTTTCATTAGCATTTGCCTTAGTTCCCTTGGTTGGACTCTTTGAGACTGCTGCTCAATAAATATAGCAGGATCATCAAGCCTCCGGTGTACCCTATCCTCAAAAATCAGATGCTGAAGCATTGCTACTTTTTAGTGTCAGAGATTTAGATGTTCCTGTACAGTGTTCCCTTTGGTTCAAATAGCAAATCTAGTGTTAAGGTGGACTTGCAACAGTAGTTCCACAGCAAAGAGGATGTAGAGTTGATCAGAGGATGCAGAAACTGGTCACTTAGATTTGTTCTCTACAGAAAGTGTCACTGCAACAAAAAGAAGGTTTACATGAACAAACTGAAAAATAATGGTCACAATGCATGTAAATTACATAGATGTTTACAGAATAGTAACCTGCTCCTTAAAAAAATAAACTCTAGTCTTGTTAGGAAACTATTAAGTTTGTTTCACAGTATTCAAACCCCAGATCTGTGCACCTCAATACAATTCAATTCCTCTGCTGACAGTCTTTTTTATATATGGCACATCCATCCATTCCTCTCTCCTCTCTCCAAAAAGGGCAACCTTCCCACTGTGCAGGTTTCATAAAGCACTTCTAGGCTTAATCCCATTTCCATATGACCTCTTCCCAAACCAGTACATGCACGCCACTCCATTCTCCTCCTCGATATCCCTGGCAGGGTCTGTCTCCATTTGTGGTTACTGCGTTCCTTAGTAGGGAATTCCGTCCCTGGCCAGCCTGGGCAGCACCCCAGCACTAACAGCGTTAAAAGAAACAACTGCCCGAGCGGAGAAAGGGCGGGCAGGCGACACTCCCGCCACCCAGCCCCTCGAGCTCCGCGCCCCGCCCGGCCCCCGGCTCCCCCCATCCCCTAGCGCCCGCGCGCCCGCCCGCCTCCGGGCCGCGGGCCCCGCCGCTGCGGCGCTCTACCCGAGGGCGCGGGCGCGCGCCCGCGCCCCTCCCTCCGCCTTGTCGCGGCGTTTGTTGTTGCGGCGGGCGCGGCGGGGCCGAGCGCGCAGGAACCGGCCGGGGCGCTCCCCGGGCTGCCGCCGCGCGCTCGGGGGGAACTCCACCCCCATCCCTGCGGCAGCTTGGCAGTGGCGTCGCGTCCTCGCGAGGCCGGCGTCAGGAGGGGCCGCTCTGCCCTCAGCGCCTCCCCGCGGGCAAGCGGCCCTGCCCGGCCTCCGCGCCTCCTCCGCCCCCGGGGCCGCGCCGCCACCGGGCCCTTGCTGCACCCGCTGGGGCGTGTGCCGTGGCAGCCCCTGGGCTGGGTTAATGTTTCCTCCCCCGACTTGCCCGACTTACCGCCCGCTCCGCAGCTGGGGATACGGGGAGCCCAGCTGTCCGTGCGGGGATGCGCGATTTGGAGTCCCAAAGGCTCAGCAGGGAGGGAAGGGACGGACAGGCAGCCGCTTTCCGGGAGGGGGACAGCGCTGGGAAGGGGGCTTGGACAGTGTGAGGTGAAACCTGCCCTGAACAAATTCAGGAGGTCGGTGCTGGATCTTTAGTGTCAGGTGAGAACAAAGTGTGGAGGGTACTCGGCATTGTAGTAGTACATTTTAGAAAAGGAAAAAAAACCCGCACAAAAAAACTTGCCAAAATAAAGTTTGTGGGGTTTTTTAAAAATATTTATGACTTCAATAAAAGCTGTTTAGGAAGTCCCAATGAGCTGAATGCCTCAGATCCTATTGTAATGAAGTTTCCTACTAATAAGAATTCTTGATGGTGTTGTGAAGGTCTGTTTTGCGTGTGGAAAAACGTTATGGTTTCTCAGTGTGAACAGTTTGGGAGAAAAACATTCAGTAATTGTACCCAAAGGCCTATTCTACCTGAAACAGCACACCCTTCGATGTTTGTCCGTGGAACAGCTTCAACTGGGTCTAGGTACACTTTCAGGGGGCTGGGATGATTGTATGTGGGTTGCCGTAAGAGTTTCTTTAGCTGGAGTTTGGGAATTCAGAGCGCTGTAGTGTCTTTTTTTAGTATTCCAGCAAGTGCTAACTACTGATAGAACAGTGGCTTGCCTTAAATTGCAAGGGTTTGGTTGTGGAAGAAGAATTGGTTAACCACAGCAATGTGCTTCGGGCTCAGCAGATCTCAGAGCTGCAAATTTTGGAGGTTCTAGGACCTGTGGGTCTTAGTGAAATGCAGTGATGTTCTTGCCTTGTCCTTGAACTTGTCCTTGAGCATCTATACTTGACTAGTTTTTCTCTGGGAATGTGCAACTTTGGTTTAACTTGAAACTTGGATTATTTGTTTATGTAAATATATTATGGCACTGACGTATCTGGTGGGGTTTAACAAGAGTTAAAACTATGTCATACTGGTTAAACATGCTGTGTTATGTGGTAGTTTTATTTTTGTTTTATTTTCCTGTTTAGTGTGCAAAATGCCATCACTCATGACAAGGCCCTTCAGCTGAATGAGATGTGTGAGACAGAGGTGTATACACCAGAGAGGTACCATCAGTGTGACAGCTACGAGCTCCTTTGCTTTGTCACTGGTGCAGGAATTAGCACTGATTTCAGGCTCTTGAATGTGATAGACTTATTTTGCCTGTCCAGCTAAGGAGAAGTTACTGCAGTTCTGGATGCAGTACAAAAAGTGAAGAGAGGGACTGGGAGGTAAAGTTATGTACAGGATTTGAAAACATAGCTGCTGCTACTAGTTTTTGTAGTCATTACAGATTTTCTCACAGTAATACTGCAAGTTCTTTACAGGATGCTTCGCATTACAGTTTGTTATGGGGACTATTCTGTCCAATAGTAGTGAGTAACAAATTAAATTTTAAAAATATTTTCCCCAATTTTGACATGATAGCTAATGAGACTTCTTTCCTTTTTGTTTCTTTGTTTGTTTTGGTTTGTTTCTGGATTCACTTAATTTCTGTTTTTATTATTAGTTTGCCTGTTTTGGAGAAGGCAACGTTACTTTTCTTCGCATACTGTTAATCTATCTCCCTGCTTGTTAGAAGTCATTCTAGATGATGCTAAATTAGAAGTGTATTATTATGGTGTTAAACTCTATTCTTGACCGGTAAGAAACAAAACAGTTGTCAGGTTTAGTATTTCTCTTGCAGCAAGACAAACCCAACACATTGTATTACTGGCAGAAATAGGAGTACGGTGCTAGTGCCTTGTGGCTCACATATAGCTTTTTGCAGTTTGCGGGGCTTTCAGTTTTTGAGGGTGTGTAGGTTAATAAAAAGGTTAAGGAAGTTTTCAGAGCTTGCTGGAAAGGGTTATAGGAGGAGAGAAAATATGGGTTTGGTAGTTCTCTGTGGAAAGAATCAATAAATTATTCACTAGAATTTAAAGCAAGAAGGTACACATGAGCCGAGGGTGAAGAGGGAGGATGTCCTGCCTATAGATTACAGTTTTGTGTAAAATTAGTCATGTGAACTTGGGAGATATCCTAATGGATATTTTTGTTACCTCCTTTTTAGTCTGCCCGACATACGGTACAGTAGATGTTACATGTTAATGGCAGCATGCTGATGGTGGAGTGTTTGTAAATTATGAATTGCTGATCTGACTTGATACTCACTTTAGTGTGAATCTCCCAAATCTATGCAGAAGCTTCTTTTCACTTTTACATCTGTTATCTTCCATCAGCAATAGATGTTTTGAAGCTTATTTTTAAAACAAACAAACAACCCTTCTGGGCTGCTGTCTATTGACAAATTTAAGTATAAGTTAATGTTGCAATTGACAGATGTTCCTGAAAGTATGACTGCTGCCTTTAGCTTTTTCCTTTCAAAGGAGAATGGTTTTGAAAGAGGTAAGAGGAACAGCATTGAACCTTTATTTGCAGAACAGATACAGCTATGGAAAGAAAGAGTATGAATGCTCAGTTGTTTAGATGAGTGTCTGCTACTTTCAGCCTCCCTTTTTTTAAGTGATAGGATAGTTGACATGCTCCCTGCTAGCTTCAGGAGCCATGATACGGAAACCATAACAGCAGGCTTCTGTTTTCCATACTGATTCTTGATGTGAGCTTTTGTCTTTTAAGGACAGGTTAAAATGCAAACTGACAATTTCTGCAGAGTAGTGGCCTTTGGTATATTAAAGAGTACTATGTATTAGAATTTTAAAAATAGTTTAGATGTGTATTGGGTTTGTATGGCAAGGTTTTTTATCAGGGGAGCTACGGGGTTGGGGGAGTGGGCCTTCTGTGAGAAACTGCTAGAAGCTTCCCTCCTGTCTGACAGAGCCAATGCCAGCCGGCTCCAAGATGGATCCATTCCTGGCCAAGGCTGAGCCCATCAGTGATGGCTATAGCACCTCTGGGATGACAGAGTAAAGGAGGGGGAGGGGGGAATTCGCACTTGCAACTGGAGAGAGAAGTTAGAATGTGTGAGAGAAACAACTCTGCAGACACCAAGGTCAGTGAAGAAGGAGGGGCAGGAGGTGCTCCAGCCGTCGGAGCAGAGTCCCCTGCAGCCCATAGTGAAGACTATGGTGAGGCAGGATGTGCCCCCACAGCCCATGGACATCCACAGTGGAACAGATACCCACATGTAGTGCATGTAGGACCCCACACTGGAGCACGCGGATGTGCCCAAAGGAGGCTGTGACCCCGTGGGAAACTTGTGCTGTACCAGGCTCCTGGCAGGTCCTGTGGACCTGTGGAGAGGAGCTCGCGCTGGAGCAGGTTTGCTGTCACGACTTGTGAGCTCGTGGGGGACCCACACTGGAGCAGTCTGTTCCTGAAGGACTGAATCACATGAAAGGGACTTATGCTGGAGCAGTTTGTGAAGAACGGTAGCCTGTGGGAAAGAATTGTGCTGAAGTTCATGGAGGACCCCATGCTGGGAGCAGGGGAAGAGTGTGAGGATCCTCCTCCTGTGGAGGAAGAAGCAGCAGAGAGGACGTGTGATGAACTGACTGTAAACCGTGTTCCCCTCCCCCTGCTCTATGGCGGGGGGTTGGGGGAGAGGAGGTAGAGAAAACTGGGAGTAAAGTTAAGCCCAGTAAGAAGCAGGATTTGAGGGGAAGTTGTTTTAAAATTTGGATTTATTTCTCATTACCCTTCTCTCATTCAATTGGCAATAAATTAATTATCCCAAGTCAAGTCTGTTTTGCCCCTGCTGGTAGTGTGTGAGTGATCTCCCCCTGTTCTTATCTCATTCCATGAGCTGAGGAGGGAAGTGATAGAGCAGCTTTGGTGGGCACCTGAATTCTATCTGGGGTCAGCCCACCACATGAGATATTGCTCAGATTGATCTTTGGTATTCATAGTATCAATGGAATCGTATTTTTCAAAATAATCACATGTGTAGGGTACACTTCTGTAAAATAAATTTCTTGAATCTTTTTTATGAAGTGTGAAACAGGCACGGCTAATCTGTCCCAGGTGCAAGTAACAGTCATGAACATTTAAATTGAATGCCAGTGGTTAGCTATCATGATGCAGTATGTGTTGTTTATGGGTTTACTCTCTATTTTACTGTTTATATGAAAACAGCTTATTTTATTTTCTGTGTACCATTGCACTTGGATGCACCTTGTTGAAGGCATTGTTATATTTATTTCATGCTTTTCAGAGGAATTAAAACTCAGTGATTCAGTTAATTATTTTGAAAGCTTTTTTTTTTTTTTTAAAGTTAGAGTTGTGACACCAGTGGTCTATGGTCAACTTTATTTTGGCCACAGCTCATTTTCTTCCTTTTTTTCTTTTTTGTGTTTGTTTTGTTGACCTGTGCTTTTCTCTAGCAGGCATGTGGGAGTTTATTGAGTCAGGTGCCTAGTGGGCAGCTATTTGTATGTGTGTTGTGAGTTGGGTGAGCTACATGTGCACCAGATGACTTGCAGGAACGCTCTTGGGGGTTCTGGTGTAGGGAAGGGGATGAGGGGCTGAGTAGGATCCATGAGTGACCACGGAGTGGTTGCTCTCATTGTTGTTGAAATGTATTCTGGAAATTCACATTGAAAAAAGCATATAGTTCTGTTGTTGACTTCATGTGTAGTTAACATTGTAATCAACATGTTGGTTTTAGCAGAGACTAAAATACATGGGACTGGTTCACAGTATCAGTTATGTAATAGAAAGAAGTAAAGACAGCATCAGTGGTATCATTTTGTTCAGTATCTCTTGCTAGAGTAGCAAACCAAGGAACAGATCCACCCTATCTTTAAGTGAATGGCAAAACTTCCATCGGTCACAGAAGCATGGGATTACACTTTGAGTTTGGAAGACATAATGAGTTCAGCTCCTGGAGGACATTAATTTTGGCACCATGAAGTCCATAACAAATTGAGTTAAGGAGATCCACATAACATACTGGTAGAGAAATGTTATGCTTTATGTCCTTTTATGTAAATCTGTTGAAGACAGAATTTGATCTTTAAGTTATACGTTCATTTAAATAGTAATATTCTGATTAGTTATGCACTAAATGTTAAGTGTGAAATAAATTAGAAAAATCTAATCTGGTTCAGTACTGTAGTATTAGGACAAAGAAGGATTAAAATGCTTGGTTATTGAATAAGTCTTTGTAGGGAGGGGGTGGCAG